TCGCCTAATTTGTGGTTACTTTTGCAGGTCATTTGGAAATTTTCGGTTGGGTGCACTCTGGCGTCATTGCAAAACCACTCATTGAGGAGTTCACTTATAACCTGGGGATCATTGCATATTATACCCTTATGTTCCAAGCTGCTTACAGTATTGTCTTTACTGCTTTTTAGACGTTTCTGCAATATCCTACAAAGTTCCTGAGTTTTGGAGTTGCCCACAAGCGCTTTATTTTCTTCAAGTTGTGACCTCATTTTGTGTTTCTCTTCAAGCCCTTTAAGAGTTTCATGTATTTGGTTTAACGCATTAAATTCCTTAAATACATGGTATTTCCTTTTCAATTTCTTTAGTTTTAGTCGCGTTTTGCGGTCTATAAATGGAGTTGGTGTCTTTAGAGCAGATTTTAGGGGCGCGATTATGTCTCTTGCTGAGCCAATTGTTTTGTAGAAAATATCAAGTGATACTTCTAAGTTATTGTTGATGAAGTATTCTTCCCAGTCAGAACTTGTCAGCAGATCTGATAGGAATTCCCAATCGGCATTCTTATAGTCCCTATACTGATAGTGCACCGGGGAATTTTTAGGTGTGTGTTTAGTTGTTAGTCGGAGGGGTAGCGTGCAGTACAGTATGTTGTGATCACTGTTATCAAGTTTATTTCCTACCTCTATCGAGATGGGCTCTATTTCATGACAAAGGATTAAGTCAAGAGTGTTTTCATTTCTTGTAGGGAGGCGTACGCACTGCTTCCATCCGCCTACGTCTATAGCTTGTAGTAACTCGTCATGGATTCTAGGTCCTGTACAGGTATCCCAGTTTACTCCAGGTAAGTTGAAATCACCACAGACTACTTTGTAGTCAAAGTCCAGCGTAGCTGCATGCTCTAGTATTTCTCCAATAGTTATATCAGTCATTTGAGGGCTATTAGGGGGTCTGTATATACATCCCATGAGAATTTTATTTTCGTTTGTGTGGATGCTTATCCACTTAGATTCAGGGAGTTTGTCCGTAGTTGGGTTATTGAAAGTATTGGAGTTAGTGGGTTTAGAGGCATATATTAAGCAGCCGCTTCCTCTTTTGTCAACTCTATCGTTCCTATAGATGTCGTAGTTGTCTATTACTAGCTTTGAGTCAGGTATATCAGTAGTAAGCCAGGTTTCAGTCACCATTATTAGTGTTGGCCGTTCTATGTATGCCAGGCAGCGAAGCGATGTTATTTTGTTAAGGAGAGATCCAGCATTCAGGAGCATAATCGTTAGTAAACCAGAGTTATTGGGGGAGAGGTTAACATGGTTACTTGTTACTATTCCTACGTTATGTTTGGAGGGGCTCTGAGGTGAGACAGAGTCAGTGTGTGTACTATTTCCTGAATGAATTGTGCAGCGAGTGGGGCTATTGTTTGCTGCATCCGAAAATAATCCTGTTGCATGTTTTGACTTTTAGCATCCATAGGTGGGTATCTGCGTTCATTTACTGGTGATATATAGTTTGCTTGACCTAGGTACCCTGTGTTAAGATTACCTTGGTAGTTGTACACGATGCTTCAGTAAGTCATTGAAAGCGCAGAAGTCTGAGAAGAGTTCGCTGTTCTCATTCATTTCGCCTAGTGAGAGCTTCTCGACCCATGATGAGTTCTCTTCCTGTATTATCTGCTCCCAGTCCGGCTTGCATTCATATCGCCCATAAGGATTCTGAAATCGCCATTCTGGATGTTGTCCACTGCTGTTTGCAGTTGTCTATAAAAATCTTCCTTCTTCTCTTGTTCTGCGTTGTTTATAGCAATCTGCGTAGTATTGGATAATTGTTTCCTTCCATTTGAGTTAAATCCTGATGTCATGATCCCGGATGAGGGGGTTGGTTTCCCCTACATTGTGGCTTTGGCTGCCACTGGCGACATCATCACTCACCGCCTCACTGTGCTCGCGGTTTCCGTTTGGGTGACCGGTGTAGATCCTTGACTTTCTAGTTGACTATTCGGGTAGGCGACATTCATTACACCTGTTGTCACAGATTCCTAGCACTTACACGCCACATCTCATTTTTTGGCAACTTCACCAGCTTTCTAAGACTAAAGCATTTTACGGACATTCCGCTTCTCCAGTGTTATTCTTGCTATCGTCGAGAGAATACACATCGGCAGACTGGCTTCCCGAAAGCTCTCACCAGCCCTCTATGTCATGTCGCCCTTCCGATTCTGGTTTGCTGAAGTTTCTGTAGCAGTTTGATAGCTTTTGTTATGTAGGGTCGCTAGCCCCACTCCCAATCTCCCATCCTTTCAATGGGCTTAAGACTGGTTGAAAAGCCAGTGAGCTAGTAAACTAGGAGAGGTTAGGTGTTTTATTCCGTCGCCACATCAGACTCCCTCAATATCACTGGATCCATGAAGAAATCGAGAGTCACATATAAGCTTGGTGATTATGCAATTACTCCGGGTCGCGACTTCTGACGAGACTGAATTACGGATCACAGTCTTGAAAATCACAAAAAAAGCGTCCGCAGTGAATTATTTACGACCCAGATGCTTTAATACTCCCAATCTAATGTACTTTCCAACACTTCTGAAAATTTACTTTAGATGTAGTATGTTGGGACTGAGTGCATCGTTAGACTTAATCCTCTGAAGAGATTCCGTTTTATGCCTCATTACTTCTTCCCCTCTGATTATACACTATACTCACTTCTTTCTGAGACTTATTCACAAAGATGAATCATAGAATGTAAAATAATTGGGCAATTATCATACCGCCGTTAATTTTATTAGTTACTGGAATTTAGTACTTGCCAGAGGGGGATATGGTAACTTTAAATCCTAGTCTGAAATCCATTTATCATGTCCAGCTTGTGGAAACTGTCTTCAGTGGAAACATGATATTCACTCGAAATGTTAGAATTAAGTTGGTCAGTTTTCAAACATCAAATCTTTCTTTCGAACGCTTGTTTAAAAAACTATCAGCACTTATAAAGGTTTCAATAAATACTAACACCATTTAGGACAGTGTTCTCCTTTAGGTACTCAGGAAATGGGAATTCCCATCAATCCAGATAACATATACCACAAGCTTACTAAAACTTATTGACAAAAAAATTTCCAAGCGAAATTTTAACAGAACCTGAAATATAAGTCCAGCCTACTCAGTATGGTAGACGTTAAATGCCATGTTCTAGTAGCGCTGTTAAAATTTCCCTTGGAAATTTTTTTTTGTCAATAATTTTTAATGAAATTGCGTTATATGTTATTTGGATTGATGAGAATTCCCATTTTCTGGCCTGTTATTTTGGTGTCCGCGTCATGTAATCTGACTGCGACACCCCCTAGCATATTGGTTGCAACGATCAGTGTTTCAGGTGAACTGTAGCAAAATATCGCTATAGTGAGAAAGATAGGATAGTTGAAGGGTAATTTCATCTACAGAAATAATCTACTGTATTCAGATGCTGCACCTTTCGTCATGGTATAATTCAATGGAGACTTCACGTCTCAGGATATTAATTCAGCCTATTTTCGTGTGAAGAACAGTCCTTTTTGACAAAAGAATTCTATCAGTACTTCGAAATCACCTGTAAATGCTAACAGAACCTTCTGTGGGAATAGAAGTAATCA